GGTTTGCACACATCTCAAGAGGGATTTTGTCCCACTCCTCTTATCCTCTCCAAGTCATTACGGTTTCGAGGCTGACGTTTGGCAACTTGAACCTTAAGATCCCTCCGCAGATTTTCTATGGGATTATGATCTGACTAGGCCACTCCAGGACATTTTATGTGCTGCTTCTTGTGCCACTCCTTTGTTGCCTTGGCTGTGTGTTTTGGGTCATTGTCATGCTGGAATACCCATCCACGACCCATTTTCAATGCCCTGGCTGAGGGAAGAAGGTTCTCACCCAAGATTTGAAGGTTTTCACTCATTGACATGCAAATCAATTTATAACTCTTTTGACATGGGTTTTTCTGGATTTTCTTTTGTGTTCTGTCTCTCACTGTTAAAATACACCTACCATTAAAATTATAGAGTGATCGGTTAGTACAGGAGAGACAATGGTTTTAAGAGTCTGAGATGAAGTGTTTAGCAGTGGCAAAATCAACACCAGAGGGTTTATTCACTAAATTTCTGCAGCACCGTAAATGAAATTAAAATCCAAATCACAGAATATAGGGGAGAATAGCCTACATGTGAATTTAGCGGTGTTAGAAAATAAAAATTAAATCAGTTCCTTTTCCCTAATTGCCATTCAGATTTCAATTTATTAAAATGTGAAGTTTAGTACGTGAACCCAAAGTCTTAATCTTTAATATTTTGTGTTATGTTCAGTAACTGGTTTCTGATCTAGCCTACTTGCCCGGTAAACCAAGAATGCTTTCTGGAATGCAGTGGATTAATGACCGCAGTTAGACTGCTAACTCAGCATAGAAACCCCTGCTCGAAGATCACTAAACAAGCTGAATGTAATGAAGGTTCAGTGGGTACTGTATTATGAGTTTCTTTAAAAAGGTAATAGATCAAAACTTAAAGGGATACTCCAGACCCCTAAATAACTTAAGCTTGTAAAATAAAAAATGTGTGAACAGTGTGCCTCTTTTTTATGTGCAGATTACAATAGAGATTGTCACTTTTGTAAATTAAATTTGTTACACCCCTTTGGCTGTCAATCAAACAACCAGTCCTGTTACTTCCTGGTTGTTTAGCTAAACTCAAGAGGCAGGCAATTATTCAGTCCCAGAGCACCTGCCTTGCAAAGATGTCTCAATGAGATGCAATAATAAATCTGTAAGGTTACAGCCTTACAGCCACAGAAAGGCTGAGCTGGGTTAAAAGGGGACAGCCGACAAGAGGTTTCCATCTTTTTAACCCCTTAAGGACCAAGTTTCTGGAATAAAATGGAATCATGACATGTCAGACATGTGTCCTTAAGGGGTTAAAGCTGATATTCGATATAGCAACAATCAAAAATATTTAATTAAAAGCATTTCTTATAGTTTGATGGTTGATGTAAAAACTTACAGGAAATATCCTAGTGGGCCTGTCCAGACCCCAAGATGATTGAGATTGTGGGGCACCAGCCCAACCACAAACAAACATGGAGACTGCGTGTTGTGTTTGTTGGTGGTTGAGTGTTGTACATATGGGAGGCTGTATGTGATAGTGAGTCTCAATGTGCCTGTGCGTGCTGGTTGAGTGTTGTCTGTGGTGGTTAAATTATGTGTGTGGAAGGAAGTCTGAGTATGGGTAAGTGACTCAATGACGCACAGCATTATCTGTGGTGCTCTGTTTCATTGGGAAGCACCTGGAAGCCATGAGGGATATATTAACCCCTTAAGGACACGTCATGTCTGACATGTCATGATTCCATTTTATTCCAGAAGCTTGGTCCTTAAGGGGTTAAAGTGACCTGCATTCAACAGGTAAAGACCACAGTGCTCCCTCGACCGTGAATGGTTATTATGTTCTTTATATAGTGCCATCAAATTCCACAGCACTTTACAATGGGTGGACGAACAGACATGTAGTTGTAACCAGACAAGTTGGACACACAGGAACAGAGGGGTTAAGGGCCCTGTTCAATGAGCTTGCATGTTAGAGGGAGTGGGGTAAAGTGACACAAAAAGGTAAGGATAATATTAGACTAATGACAGTTGCAAGAGAGGAATCAGTCGGGAGCTATTAACAGTTTAATTGATACGCCTTTATGAAGAAGTGTTTTTTTTAAACGATTTTTTGAAGGAGTTGAGACTGGGTGAGCATCTAACGGAGGAGGGAAGCGAGTTCCACAGGAACGGTGCAGCCCTTGAGAAGTCTGGAAGGAGAGCATCAGAGGTGGGAGTGCGGACAGAAGATAGATGTAAGTCTTCAGCAGAGC